TGTCAAGCCTGCTGTGGTGTTTAGTGTCTAGGTTAGCTTGTGCTTGCTAACAGCATATTGAAAAGACATTTTCTTAAAAATCTATGCTCCAGGTGGGTGGAAGTCCAAACTCTTTTAACTTGCATGGCTAATGGTGTAAATGGCTTGAGTACCTTATCTCAGGTGTGCCAGCATTGCAGCTTTTCCCTATAGATCTGCTCAGCCAGTGACAAGGTTTTGAGTAGTTAACAGTAAACAAAAATGCTCAAGTGCTGATGGACTTGGATTTTTCAGACAACTGGATATTGTAATATAATTTGCTGTATTTTCTTCTCTTATTCAAATCTGAAATTCATGTGCCTCTGGTCAAAGCACCAGTTGATTTGGGCTTAATCGAAGGGTTAATTTCTGTGAACGACATTAGTATTAAGGTGATGACTTTGTTTGAGTTGTACTGAGTTGTACTTTTAATGTATATGGCCAGTCTTGGTGTGAAAGAGGTCTTACTATATGTATGTTTGAATACATAACTGCAGTAGACCTTACGTGCTTCACTTGCTACTGGTAGTGTCAAGGCTATGTTGCAAGAAAAGACCTGTAACAGGGGGAATACCATCTCTGCTACATGGTGCTTTGTGAACTGAATGGTCAAAATGCTGCGATCTCCAAAACTGACCTTCAGACTTCCTTCCGATAAAAGGAGGAAGAGCAGATGAAGGATTAGAAGTTTGAACGTTTATATGTACAGACATCTATATACATCTGTGTATATATAAAATTGACAGATTGTTCACACTGCTAAGTATATAGCATTGCACCCCTGTTAAGAGTGTCAGTATTGAACAAAGAGAAACAGTAGTGATGGGTACAAATCCAGTGTTCCTGTTGCAGACTGGTTATGCCGGATGGGCTCAGGCAGAAGAGCTGTGGCAGGCGCTGACTGCGTGCAGCTGCTGGGCAGCAGAAAGGAACCTTGGGAGCAGCCACTGAACTTGACTTACGCCTGTCCGAATCAATTTGCACGTTCTGATTTATGTCTATCTGAGTCAACTCACATGTGGTTCCTGGCAGAAGTGTGGGGAACTAAATGCAGGCCTGCAGTAAATGTGGCTGCATGCTGTCAGTGGGCAGTACGGTGATAGTGACTTTTATAAGGGATCTCACAAAATGTTGTTATCAAGCTGTCTGTCAAGTAACTATGAAATCAGACAGTCTGCACTGAATAGTCAGTCAGATGATACCTGGATTTCCTGTTGGCCTTTCAACATGCAAAACTGTGGATGTTTTACATTTGAGATAAACAGCGAACTTTCCACCCTGCTGTTTTATGCACCTGCATCCAGCTGTATGACATGAGCTGCAGAATGCTGTGGGAAAGAGAGAGGGGACATGGCATTTGAATTGCCTTGTTCGGAACTAAATGTTATGTCTGTGGTTTTCAAATTATCTGCCTATTATCAGTGGCCAACAAAACCATGGTGAATCATCTGCAGCCCAGTATGTGGAGCCTTTATTCTTAGGTACAAATATTCATACACATATGTACCACCTATAGAGAATGTTGGGACTTGGTAGTGCTCTACAACCTAAAAACCATGGAAATTACTGTTCCTCATAGAGAACTAGAAAAACAGAAGGGAACAAGCTGAGGTATAGGAAATCTGGTTTAAAATATATTTCAGCAAGAAAGATACAAAGTCAAAGATTCACAGTGACTGTGTTTCTTCTGTGTGAGACCCAGAAAGCAGGAGTCAATTAAAGGTGCCACCCTGGAGGGTGGTACTACCCCAGGACTTCTTGTAGAGTCACCCTGGCGTCTGTCAAGTATTTATTTCAAATGCTTGTATTCTTGGAGCTTCTCTCATTTTTCCAGTGCTTCCCTCTGGATTGTGAAAAGTAAATTACCAGTGTTGTAATGTACGTTGGCCTTATCTTGGAGATGTAACAGAAGACAAGGGATAAAGCGCTTACGGTAGCTGCAGTAGCCACCAAGGTTCACCAGGGCATGGACATTTTGTGGGCTCTGCTTTCAGCTACCTCAAGGCTGCTCTTTCATTACAAGAGTGAAGGAAGGTTTTTAATTTTTTGTAATGCAGCTAAGAATCCATAAGGAGGAGCTGTAAGGCTTTCAGGATAAATTGCTGATAACACTGCACGCTCTGCTGTTGGGTTTGTTGGGTCTTAGCTGACAGTGGAGGAACAGTGAGACTAGGGATGCCTGAGCTGGGCTGGGCTTCCATCCTGTAGCCTTTCTTTGGATTTTTCAGCTTTCCTTCACAGGATGGGCTTCCATCTTTGCCCCAGCTCCCTTTCCAGTTCCTTTGCTGCTCTCCACTACAGTTCCCACTTGGATCCTCCATTTTTGCTTCTGGTCTCATGCAGTGTCTTACAACAGCTTACTGTATTTTCTCATATCCCGGTCTAACTTTCAGTCTCTGTGCGTCTGAGCTGGGAAGCTTATGGCAGCTTGTGCTGCCCCTTGCTATCAGGACAGGCTTTATCCAGAACATTCAGTTAATACGATGTTTCTAGAACAGGGTTTTTATATTTTCAAAAAGGGCACGTGTGACAGGAATATGAGGGTTTGGTTTGGGATTTTTACCTCTTCTGCATATATCTTCCTAAACTTTGTACAGTAGTGTACATTCTTACCTGAAATTCACAGACCTCTGAATTTTTAAAACATGCAGTGTGTCTGTGTGCAAAGGGTGTGCTCAAGCCTTGTAGATCTGTCCCCTCTGTGTGCCTCCTACCTTGACAGCGTGTGTGGTTTTTCTGTGGGCACTAGCACTGAGAAAGGCTTATCCTGGCATGCGAAGAAGGGCTGGGCACAGCACCGGACACCCAGAAACTGCTGCTGCTGGGGCTGTGTCACAGAAGTAGGAGGGAGAGTGGCTCTGTCCAAGAGCCCTGGGGCTGCTTCTGTCCCACTGCTGGCACCTTTTTTATTTTCAGGCCTGTTTATTGTACTATCTTGCATTATCAAATGCTTTAGCTTGTTGTTCTATTGTATCAAGTATATTCATAGGACTAGGTCCCAAAATAAACAATTGTGTTAAATTTGAGTTGGTTAGAGTAGTATCTGTGTAACTTCTATGCTATGTTGGGACTCAATGTTTATAAATTAATTTCTATAATTAATTTCTGGGCTTGTGTTCTAAATGCACTGATTTTTATAACTGGGAGAAGGTAATCACTAAATACTGATTCCAGTCACCTTTTTTCTTATTGCAGCTGAAAACATTTAATGTGCACTTGTATTTTTAGGATGATAGGACTTAGAATGTGAGTGGCAAGAATGGAATGAAAATCCTACTATATAACTTAAATGCTTTTCAGTTTTTGAAAACATGATACTAATTGACTGAAGAGATTCCTTGAGGAAATGGCAGGATGTTGTTGAATTACAGGAGTGGTTTGTGAATCCTGACTTCTGTATGAGATTTGTTTTGGATTCTCTGTGCGCTTTTGGTCAGTACACCCCTAGTATTTGTCAATTTAGCCATTGATGTACAGGGGCTGACATTTCAACCTTGATTCACATGCAAGTACTATGAAGATTTATTTTTGTATTCTTTTGATGTTAATATAATTGAAGTTTATGATTCTATTGTATACAACTAATTGTTTACCTCAAATATGGTTTTTTATTAGGTTTTGTACTACAATCTGCTGTTTATATTAATTTTTGTTGTAGTGGGTATGTTCACTGATTGAATTACTGCTTTGAGGAAAAGACGGAGTGCTATCACTAGGAGAACAAAACTTAGCTTTTAGCAGATTTACTGGATTTTATTCTTTATTGCTGAATTGTCTTGTGATTTAAAATTTTTTTCTTTTACTAAAAAGAATTCAGAATTTTAATTGAAGTCTATCTTTCCTTAGCTTAGAGTTGGGTTTCCTTGTTGCATGTAGTTTCTCATCTATGTGCTAGTAGCGCTGTCATTTTCCAGTTTGTCACATTTGCTTGTGGAAATGTAATTTGATGTAATGCTTGCAATGACTGCACTGTTGTGCTTATCTTGGTCAAACAAAAAACAAAATATGAATTGCCAGACAGAAATATTTTGAGGATTATGAAGTGATAAAGCTTTCTTATTTCCAGCAGATCATGCAGCAAAAGAGCCGGTGGAGGATACGGATCCAA